TTATTTAATGCCTTAACAATTTAATTTATTTATATTACTATTTTACTGTGGATTACTATAATAATGCATTTCTTACATGTACCGTTTCTATCATTGATTCACTTAACATACAATTATGTTGTTTTTCGGTATATAAACATGTAACATGATATAAAATGCACAGCATGACATGATATCAAATAATAATTTAGATGCAGTCACACATGTAGCGTTAATATATGTGAAGTCAAACTGCTGCACAGTGCACAATGTATGTCACTGTAAATACAAGAGTACAAGAGCCTATTAATTTTAATGTATACATCTGGCTATCAAAAATGAATATTTAAGATTTCAGGTTTTTACCAGTGCTTCATATTTTAAATTTATTTTTACAACTTTTATCTATCTGTATCACTATATTGTAAATTTGAAGAATTTCTATATTAATGAAGATAAAATATTTGAATTTTCATTCGTCTGACTACGTGTAGTTATGTATAGACATGTATTTATAAACTGTTTATATGTACAATTTTTTTTATCATTGTAGCTGCCAGGTGTTGTAGGCTGAAAGAATAAATAAAACTGGCAATATTTACAACACCCAGACTTATCAAAATAGATGCATCAATTTCTCCACTGGGTATGAACATTACTAATTATAAAAAGCATTTCACATTAATTTTATAACATGCCAGTGTAATATTTTTTTTCCAATTTTATATAGGTGAAAGAATTAAATTACCTCTAGTATATTGATTTTATTTTTTTTTTACTTTAACTAGTATAATAGCTACCAATCTGCTGTTGCCAATGTTATAGGTTTCAATTTCCCAGAAAATTAATGTATAAAAGTTTGTTCTTATTTATTTCATGAATTTCAGAAAATATAGCACATCATGGTTTGTTTTGCAGAATGCAATGTCATTTCATTCTACAATAGTTATCATAATGTATATCACTCATTACATATATATATTGTGTTGTAACTACTCCCAAACAATTTAAACAATTCATTCATTCAGGCAGCACATGTATTCACCATTCAAGTAAAAAGGTTTGCTCCTCATGGCCGTAGGAAGCATTGGGGGGGGGGGGGGGGGTGCCTCCCAATAATTTTGCCGACATATGGAATACTTTTAAAAACATAGCTACAACATGCTTGTGCACCCTCAATAATAAAACACTGATGACCTTTTTTCTTAATATTTATTTATTTTTTTTTTTTTTTGCTCGTCAAGGAATTTTTGGTAGTTGATAGTGCCACCCCAACTTAAAAGTTATGCCCCCCCCCCCACTGTAATTGCTTCCCACAGGCCTGCTCCTCATTAGCTACATGTATAAACATATTATACACATTCCAGGCACGATTATTGAAATATTTTGATAATAAAAACAGTAGAATTAAAATATATACATGTAATATGTTTTCTATGTTTCTCAACACCAATGAACTTTCCATAATGGTGGTTCATTTTGTTTTCAGAATTGGTTTCATCCAAAGGAACATGAACGGAAATATTTTGCACATGCTCAGAATTCCCTTCACAACCTGCCTTTGAATATGAAGAGCTGTATTTATTAAATATATTTTCTAAAAAAATAATACTTTTAACTTTTTAACTTTACAGTAGTGTGAAAGTTTGAAGGCTGTTAAAATGTGCATTTATTTTGTTGTTTGTGTTGTTTGGTTTACCAAAAAGATCTATATTTCAGAAGGTAAATTGTGTTCACTTGTTTTTTAACAGAGTATCTGTTTTTTCCTATGCTTATCTTCTGTGTGCATGTATTGATAGAAACTCAAAAAAGGAGACTAACCCCCCACCCCCACCCCCATGTGATTTGTGCTTAAGTACCCAAAGAAGTAAAACCTGATGTAAACACGGTATAATGATTTATTTTTAACATGCAAGTGCGGTATATGGTATCAAAGGAGCCAGAAGCAAACTGGTGGTGGTTGGAAAGGGGGGGGGGTTAGAGCTATAGAAAGGAAAACAGGTTATTAATTACAGATGTACATGTAAGCAATCCAATCCCTTCCTCCTGGTTCAAAAAAACTTTTAAGCTAGTCTAGAATCCCTGAACAGTAGAAGGTTTGATAGCTACTACGAGAATCACACAGAATGTATGTAAAAAAAATTCTGTAGGAGATTTTTATTTATTTGTTTGTGTGGGTAATGGGGGTGGGTATAAATATTTAAATAATTGATAGGGGGTTGTCTTTTGTTTATTAGAAATGATTGAATCTTTCAATATTTTTAACCATGGGCATACATGATGGATGTTGCGTCAAATTTTACGCCTATTGTAAACCAGGCCTCTGAATTTCTATCATTAAGCCGTTATATGATTGATCAGAGTGATGTATATACCCCCTCTATACATGTATATAAATACATATATTTATGTATTTATATATAATAGAGGGGATATATATATTACTCCGATCAATCATATAACGGCTTACTGAGAGAAATTCAGAGGCCCCTGCACATTGGTGTATGGATGAAATGCGGAAGGTGTCAAAGACGTCTTGTGTACAGCGTATAAAGAACGAAGACATACAAAATAGAGTAAAGTCAAGGATTTTTTATGCATACCGTTTTGATTTAGCGAAAAAAGCCCAGCACAGTCCGTAGGTATTATTTGTTTAAACTTTACGAGGTACACACACTCTATGAAGCACTGGAGAGTTATCTCCCATGCTGAGTCAATGATGCCTTTGAAAACTATATTTAGAATGAATGCGTCAAAATTTCTAATTTCTTTATTTTACTGTATAGTTTTTGAAAAGTGATGCTCATTTCTTTGTAATTCAATAGGTAATTTATAATTTCCGATGAAATTATGAAAATACCCTATTTTTTGAATACTGCTGGGTTTTTTTTTTTTTTTTTTTTTCACTGAATCACTTAAATATCTCAGAAATCTAACTGAAAGAGCATCAGTTTCGAGATAGGATAGATATCAAGGGACACACTGAAACATTGTGCAGTTTATATTTGTTTGCCTTGCCCTTGCACTTTTTGGTTAAATTTGACATTTCATATTTTGACCCAAAATCGGATCCCACGTGACTGTATAGGGTCATATGATGACAAAAAATACCGATATGAAAAGCGATGAACTTACTCTTCAAAATACCCTTAAATATTTCAAATAGAGTTTCATGCTAAAAAATAAGACGGTTGAACTTTAAGTGTCTTGTTTTTGGTGCCTTTTGATAGAAAATGTTGCCTTACCTGTACTGCGTTGTAACATAAAATTTACAATCTGTCATGATTAAAACCTTTCCTTTACTGAAAATGCTTACTTTTTCTTGACATATTTATTATTAAAAATATTAACAAAAAAAAAATTAAATTAAGAAATATTTCTTCAATTAAGTTTATATATATATATATATATATATATATATATATATATATATATATATATATATATATATATATATATATATATATATATATATATATATATGACCCTGAATTATGAATAAAATATTTTTTTTTTTGATTTGCTTTCAAAAAAATTGATACTGAACACTCGAGATCAAAATCCAGTTTTGATTTACAGGGGCCTGTCATCTACAAGTATTTCACTATCATAACCATAAATCAACAGACGTCAAGATCTGAATCAATAAGATTTCAATGATTTTATTAAAATTACTATCTTCACCATCTGTACCCCTCTCCCAAAACTGATTAAAAACTACATTCAAAGTTTTTTTGATAGGACCCGGAAGAGAAAAAAAAAAAAACAATATTTATTCAATATGTACATGTATTTCACATTGGATTTCAAGTGTTTACACATGTACTTCTGAAGTTTGTTTTGTTAATCTCTATCTCTCTATTGTGTTTCTTTTTTTTCCTCTTTTTCCAACCTCGTGTTCGAAAAAATGAATGGACCATTAGAAATGGTCTGAAACGCTATGTATGCCTGTGAAATGAATTGTCAATTCTATCAATTGTGTATAGCAAAGGTAATGTTAATAGCATATCGAACATTGATTTAAATAATGAAACAATCTTTCTGGGTGGCATCTTCTGACCAATAATTAAAAAAAGAAAAAAAAAAAGAAACATATGTTATTTTTTTATGCATGTTTTGTTAAATGTGGTCGTTAAGGAACCATTAATGATTTTTTTTTCAAAAGGTGAAAATTCTAATTATTGCAGAAATTAATGCTTAAATAACTGGCCCAGAACTAGTTTATGCACTAAATTTTTCTTGCTGTATCCCACGCTCGCTTATAAACATTAATCTAAAAATCAGCATATCTTTATGTTCCTTGTTTGATAAGCGGAAAACGTTGAGAGGCTACTAATAATAGTTATCATTATATTGCAGCTGTGTCCTAAATCGAGGTTTGCATAAGATTTTATCAGTTATGAATGTCTTTTCAAATTAATCAATATTTTCAATTTAATTTAAAAAAGCATAAGAGCTGCAATATGGTTGAAATGAACACAATAAATAATAATATCAGGCATTTAAACTCAGCTTACTTCTACTCTCCCTTAATTTTTTAATACTTTATCTTATGACAGTTACATCACTTGAAATTGTGTGTCAGCAAATAATATTTTTTCAAGCAAATTTTGATTTTTTATTACAAATTGAAGTCTAAAATATCTTAAAAAGCTTTAAGTCAGCCATTTCAATAACGTATTTATAAAAATAATATACGTAGCTTCTACCTCTTAACTTACGTTCTAGCTATTCATGTCAGCGGAGGATATGATCCACTTCATGCAGTCAAACAGGAAGACGAATGACATCAAACATTTAATTTAAAATATACAGATATGTGGTTGGAAGCAATCTTAGTGAATTTTCTGATACACTTTTTACCAAAGATCTCAGGTTTTGGTAAGTATCTCACGCTCTATCTTCTCTTATGCAATAGTAGAAAAAAGCTGTTTGTCAATTATTGTAAACGTTTGAAACTTACTTTTTATACCCATTATAAAAAAAGCGTAATAGTGATTGTTCATTATAAATTCCTTGAAATGAAATACGCAAAACGAAATCAATTTACAGTTAATCTGGCACATACCCCTAAGCAGACACTACAAGGAATTGCCTCTTGGAATGTTGTTCCTCATGACAAAAACTGGAGAGCCGACAAAGCGGTTGATGGTAATACGAATCAAACCTACCTCCCTACGTGTGCTATTGCTGCTTACGCTAACGGTTATAAACTGGTTTGGTGGAAGGTGTGGTTAAACAGAAAATTTAATATAGCATACTTGGAAATCTATCTGCGATCCGGATGTAAGTTTTCCTAGGTCGTTGAAAAAAAAACCTCCTTTTCTGTTATAGTTTGTGTGTATAGATACGTTTATAGTCGCTATACTATCTATCTTAAAACAACTTTCAATAATATACAAAGTAGAATTTAAGAAAACTAAGCCATGCTTAGAGGATAAATAAGACACTCCTAATATTTTACATAATTACCGTAGAATTACCTTATACAATTCTCATGGGGATTTAAGATTACTATTTAATAAGTCGTTATTTTTTTTATTTCCACTAAGCGGCATTGTAGTACATTGGAAATGTTCTTTTGAATACTATATCATGACCATATCTGCTATAGTTATCTGTGATATCCTATTTAGCGCTGAGGAGATTTCAGTGATTTGTTATGATACAAATACATTTTTAAAGATTGACATTTCCATGCATAACTTTACTAATGATTGGCAAAGATTATATGGATAAAAAACTGTATGCATGTATTAAGGACGAATTCATTTTTATATATATAGCCTTTTTATATAAGACTAGTGGTAGACACTTGGTCTTAAGCAAATATACCTTCAGTATTAATGTTACAAAAGTTTGTCTTTCCAGAAAGGCAGAAATGTCATCTCTTTTAGTTTATTATGTTTGTTTTCTTTTTTGTTGTTGTTGTTGTTGTTGTTTAACATCCCTCTCGAGAACCAAACACTCATATGAAGACGCCACCACTTGCCGGTGGAGGGCTGCAGATGTACACGGCACTCAGGGCTATTGAGCAGTGAGGGATCTTTTTCGTGCCAACACCTACTGCGACTTGGGACCTCGGTTTATACGGTCTCATCCGAAGGGTCGATCTCCGCGTCATGCAGTGGATTCGTACCCGCGACGTAAGGATCAGCTCCTTACTCCACGACTCTAGAGCAGACGCTCTAACCACTGCGCCACGCGGACAATCTTTGGTTCAACAATGTCACTGTTTAAACAGTGAAATGTAATAATTTCTCAGCTATTGCAGGCAATAGTATATATATATATATATATATATATATATATATATATATATATATATATATATATATATATATATATATATATATATATATATATATATATATATATATATATATATATATATATATATATATATATATATATATATATATATATATAGAGTCCAAAGGTAGTTCATGGAGGTGAAGGGGGAGATAAGATTTTGCACATTTTATCAATAAATTGCAATAATATACACAACGTTGGGTGGGAGGGCACAAATCCTTTCAATGAACATTTCCAACTGTAAAATTTTATTTCTGGAAATACAGTTAGAGGGTACGTGGCCATTCTGATGCTATATGCCTGTATTCATTAACTGTGTGGAAACTATTTTATTCGTTTTAAATGTTTTTTGGCACAATGTGTGTAAAATAACATTAACGGAGAACAACATTAGTTAAAAAAAAAATAGATAATTGTTCTGCAGGACCTTAGCGGTTTTTTTTTTTTTTTGTTCAGTTCACAACTGCATACTTTGATAGCAACCAGGAAATTTTAAAGCGCAAACTTAAATCAGTCTAGCCTTCAAGTGATTTTAATAATATATAATGAAAAATATATATATTGTATATAAAATGAAAAAGGTCAAGATAACAAATATCGATAAAAATCCAAAAATCTACAAACAATACAAATTTGTGAACAAGGCATAAACATGGACCTCCGGAAATTCCAGAGGTGGGATCAGGTTATTAGGAAGAGTACGCATGCCCTGATGACTGATCACACTTGTCGTGAGCCCTATGCTTAAATTGTGGATTTAAGTTCTAAAATTTATTTTTTTAAGCACATTTTCGTAATAAGTTCTGTATTATTTGATATACAGCATTATAAGTTCTATATTATTTGATATACAGCATTAAGTTATATAGTACACATAAAAGAAAGGTATTTTTCTTAAATTCAAACTAGTTGTGTTAATAAATTTAATCAAAAAAAATATGTAAATGTTTTCATATAATTTCTTATTACGTAAATTCTTGGATCAACACCTTGGCTGACTCTCATTTAGACAAAAGCACAAAAGCCTAGAAATCTACATGTGTATTTTAAAGACTAGCCACTGCCCAAGTGATCTTTCTTCTACTTTACCTGAATGAATCCAGTGTAGTTTTTTTTTCTTAGATAATGATAAACATAGCTCCTATTTTGAGCAGTTTTGCTACCATTTATTTAGAAAACACGTCATTGCCAGACCACCAGTTTTTCAATGACAGCTTACTATAGAATTTCACCTCCGGATTACAAACTTAATTTGTCATATGATACATGTATGACAATTATTGTAATTCAATAATTGCACGGGTATCTGAAAGGGATCGAGCGCTGAGTGTTTTATTTACTACTTGACTGCAGTAAGACAAATAAGTAATTCGATTGCAATTTTTTTTTTATCATGGTATCAACTCTTTTCGAATATCATGAGTTTGAAGAATTATTATATACATGTTACGGTAAACATTTCCAGTAAATCCCCCCCCCCCCCTCAATGCAACTCAATGCAAAAATTATGAATCAGGGTAAACTTCATCAACTACATCCCTCTTTGTATTTATTTTTTATGGGACTTCAAAGAAATATTTAATGCGAATAACAATTTCATTTCAGAATTTCTAAATTTAGAATACAGTTTCTCCAATTATCGCAAAATGTGTCTTAAATCAAGCACAGTGATGTTTTTTTAGTTCTCTAATATGCATATGGGCACAAACATAATGACGTCACGTAGTGTTAGTAACAATAAATAGATTTGTGAAATACTGGTAAACAGATAGTGTTGAAGACGTTTAGACATTAAAAAAATTTTAAGTCTCAATCCTTATCTTTCTATTTGTCAAATGGCATGTGTTCGTGTCTATTATCAATTATAAAGATTCGGAACTCTATTTCCAGAAAAAAAATTAGTTGCAAAAGATATTTCAACGTTAACGTTGCAATACCTCATGGATCATGTCATGTCCTCAGTGGTTTAGAATGATAAACATGTTGACAGTGGCAATTCAGTTTTACAAATAGAAGTTATTTAGCAGACTTTAAATGTAATCAATAATTCATAACAATCAAAATTAAAATAATTATAATGACCATAAGTATACGTCCAAACATGCTTTATAATTAATGTAATAAAATACATTTAATCTCCAGCTATTACATTAAAGAGTATTAATTACCAATGCTTCGTCAGGATCAGCACAATTTCATTTGGGGGCTGTCTTGTATGATGTAATAATAATATAAAAGTATTTCTTTCTAAGTTTCAAACCGGGCAGCAGGTTTCTCCACATATACGTACGAAGACAAAGATTTTGTTCCTTCCACTGGAGACACGGGGCGATTTGTATACAATCATGATCCTATGTCAGGATGTCCAGACTCCATCCAGAACATAACTGTGAATAAAATTGCTCAGGGAGTAGCATTCTTTAACAAAAGACCAGATGGATTTACGTCAAATTGTTCGGATGTAGATGTAAAAAGGACCTCAGTTGAAAGATGTGAAGTGAAAGTAATGGGTACGGTGCGCTTTAAAAAACTGTTTTTAAATGATGTAATCTTCTATGTATACTTTCTAAAGGTTAACAATGATCATGGCGTAAAAATATATCGCATAATTAATTTAAAATACATGTAGTATAATGTCAAGATAAAAGAAAAATAGTTTCTTAGTTATTGTCCATATTCATCGTAGGTTGTGATCAAGATAGATATCATTCTGGATGTACGGAGGCATGCAGTCCTAAATGCAAAGACAGCCACTGTGATGCTTTTAACGGGTCATGTATATATGGCTGTTCTGATCCTAATGCTGTGTCCTTGTATTGTATTGGTATGGGTTTTTTTTCGAACATGGATAGCACATCATAATCGTTTTACAATATCATTCTCGGAATAAAATATGAAATTAAAATCTGGGTTTTCCACAAATCTGTGAGAAATGTCTGTTGAATACATGTACCTCACATTTATATATATAAAAAAATCGGTTATGTTTTGCAAGTTTACAAAGAAATACATGCAGCACAATGTACACTTAGAGAGAGAGAGAGAGAGAGAGAGAGAGAGAGTATAAGATCATGATTCTGCATTGTGACATACTTCAATGTTTTCTGTTCTTCGCTGGTATGTAAACGCTGGAGGATTGAGAAATAAGATTCAAAAGATAATACAGATATATTCCTGTCTAAAGCTATAAAACCGGTATTGCTTTTATATAGAAATACCATTTGGAAAATATAGCGAAAAAATCAATCAATAAAGATAATACAATGCATAAATTTAGGTAAGATTTTGTTTTACCAGCCATTTTTATTCTTGAATGAGTGTCTTATGTTCAAATTCTGCAAATTATCACACAATCTCTTTTTTTAGTTAACCTCATGCAAAGTATATTATGTATTTATTCCCAGAAATGTACTTAATATGTATTACTTTGTATTAGTGTGTGATGACGGGAAGTTTGCTTTAAATGGGAAATGTGAACAATGTGGCAACTGCCAGAAGGACACGGCGTGTGACAAAGGAACTGGAAGATGTTTGTTTGGGTGTAAGGACAACTGGACGGGAGATCTTTGTAAGGGTGTGTATTTGATTTATGATTAGTCTTCCTAGGTACCTTATCCCACCTCTAGAATTTCCAGAGGTCAATGACAAACAGTCCCTGAAACCTTCTACTTTCCCATTTTGCCGTTCGCTCAGCGTGCGTTCACCCTTCGTTCAACGTGCGTTCACCCTTCGTTCAGCGTGCGTTCACCGTTCGCTCTCCGTTCACAGTTTTGCGTTCAGTGTTCACCGTGCGCTCGGGTTCACCGTTCACAAAGCCTTCACCGTTCGCTCTCCTTTCGTTCACTTTGCATTCACCTTGCGTTCAGCGTTCAGTTACCGTTCAGTCTTCACTATCATTCAGAACTCCGAAGTGAAAGGACTAATCTTTTTGTACGTGAGGATTGAAATTTAATAATTAACATTTCGTGTTTAAAGGATCATTATTTCATGGGGAAAATATCTACAGTATGTTCTATTATTATTCTATCTTAGCTGCTAGATTATTTATTTAATTACTGGAAAATAAATGTTGTTATAAGTATGTACCTATGTAGAACGATGCTGAAAAATTAAATTTAAATACGGGCAATACACGGATACTTCAAACATTGCAACATTTTTCTTTTTATGTAAAAGACGACAAATCGTTAATGGAGAGATAATAATCCATGACAATTAATTTACCAACTGCAGCAAAATTACGAAAATATTTATTTTCAAAACGGTTTTGTTTTCAATTACTAAAGAAATACATATTAGAACTAGTACTGAGAATTATAAATAGTACTGCGCAGATCCAATTAATTTAATATCTTTGGAGCGAATTAAATTGTTAGTGTGGTTAAAAAAATTTTATTTAAATGTAATACACCACATTTTTTTTCTACTTTACATACATAAAGTCAATTGTTAGGGAGAAAAATTTCTTCCTTCACCACAACTTGATATGTTTCCAATTGAATATGATTAAGCCCCCCCCCCCCTTTTCCACCTAAATCGGTTACATAGTCAGTATTTCTAGTATATTTTAATTAATATCTAAAATAAAGTTAATGCGTTTTCTAGCACAGAAATCTGAGTCTCCAGACAAACATGCATCTTAAAAAGTCAATAAACAATTGTAATTCAAAATATACACGTGCCGGCTGTGGTATTTTAAATTGGCAGGGAGTGTATTTCAAATTCACGTGGCTTAATCATTCCAAGTGTTTATGCCCCATGTATTTTATTTATTTATTTATTTTAGAAAACTTGTAATCAGATCTAGATATGATAAAAAAAATGTTAAAACTTCTTAGAAATACTACAGTGAAGCATTTCGGCTTTGGTGTGACGAGACTTTCACACCTGCAAAGGTCGAATGATTTTGATTGACAGAACAAACACGTGGACTTCGTGTGAAATTGATGCTGGAAATTAAAGACAGATTATGATTGTCAAACAAATGAATTTGTTGATTTAAAAAAAAATGATTATTTTTACTGCCTGATATATTTAGATAAGAATTAAGAAGTTCTGTTTGATACTTTGTTTGAAATACATGCATTTGAGGAAGGGGGCTAAAACGTAATATCTCTCTCTCTCTCTCTCTCTCTCTCTCTCTCTCTCTCTCTCTCGTTTGTCTATTTTATCAAAACTATGGCAGCATATTGCTTAAATATCAAGTTCTGAAATTTTTAAATCATCATTGAAAAAATTGAATACACATAAATATATTATTGCATTTAGTTTTTAAAATACGAGTCTATTTATGCAATACGTCCACAGACCTTTTTTAAAATATTTTTAATTTTTTCTCATTATTCTACACGGAATCGCCTTGGCACGGAAATATATGTATGGTTGTTACAACCGTTGTAGTTCATTCTATAAGTAAGTAATTTCCTCTTCGAAAATTATTAATTGTTATTGTTTTATATGTAAAATACGAATAAACAACTAGAATATTTTAAGCTTTTAAACTACAGTGTTCGGTAACAATTACAGCGATAAAAATCGTGTGAAAAAACAGCTGAATTTAAACATCATACATATGTGCAGAAACTTAGTTAATAGTTTTAATTAATGTGATTTTTTTCTCCTTTTTAGGACAATTTTGGAATAGTTATTTATTTATTTATTTATTTATTTTGCACCAGGCATGAGAATACAATGGAATAGATACAATGCAAGAAAAAGATCAGAGGCATTCCGAATAAATTGTTCATCTTGCATTCACCGTTCACTATGCGCTCGCGTGCGTGCTCAGTTCGCGTTCTGCGTTTGCTCACCATCCACCTACCGTTCATCAAGTTGCGTTCAGCGTTCACTCATCGTTCATTCACTGCGTTCGTTCACCGTTCAAGTGGCAAAGTAGAACGTTTCAGGGACTGTATCCTGTTGAGAGATTTGCTTTGTATGTGGATCACCGTTCGTTATCTTCACCGGTAGTCAAACCTGTTACTTTCTGGCATATGTGACGTCTATTTTTTTCTTTTTATATATACAATTTATCTGTATTCATCGACATGCTAACATCATTTTCTGTACTAAAGAAAGATCTTGAGCAACGAACCATCATTTGGCCCTGTGATTTTCACAAAAGTAAAGTTTCGATTCAACAAGATCACTACACATTAAGTGTTAGAGGACTACAAACTTCTGTTTCATACGTAACTTATTTTGTTAAATTGTGCGCCATTAGGCACGTGCGACATGCAACGGTGTCATAAAATTGATAAAAACGTTAAAAATGCCGGTTTTCCAAAAGTTAGAAATGGCCATAATCAAGAAAAACTTTTACACTTACCTTAGATATTGATATTGCCGATACAAATCGTTATGCTTATTATCGTTTTTATTCGTGGGTGATGACAATATGATATTTGGATTTATATTCAAATTTTGATGCATCAAATAACCACTTATTTGTGAATCAATTGTTAACATTTAATTCATACAACAATTAAAAATTATAAATTACACAACATATGCGAGAAAAACAATCTTTTGTTTGTTTAAAACGCCTATTGTGGAAACAAAATCAGGAATAAATATTTTCTGAAATAAATATCTGGAAAAACGAAATTTTCAAGTGCAAGTGTTTGAGGAAACCGATATCGGTACACATATATACATGTATACTATAACTATATATTCTTTGTACTAGCATGTATAAGCTATCGATAAAATAACTGTATTCAAGAAATCCTCTGAGATGATTCTTATGCATGCACACAAAAAGGTGAATTGCCAACTTGCTTCAGAAGCATATTTATATTTAATATGTCTGCATTTCATAAATTCATAAATTCGAAGTGAGGATATTGATACATGTGTACATTTTACACATAACTGATTTTGTCATCATTTATGAAAAATAATTCAAATATACCCAAGTGAGCAAAAATGCATAAACAATGTCTAAGTATTTCTTATAAATAAAGTATTAAATATTTATGATTTTTTTTATACTGTGCTCCAAATATTTCATTTTTACTGTCAAAATTTAAGGAAGGGGTGGTGATTTTAAATCTATTTAGACAAAAATAAGAAATGAAATCAAATAAATTAAATAAGGTACACTACATATCAATTACCCTTTAGTTTTTTATCTGCCACGATTTCTTCATTGCGACTATATTAAAGTATACAGTTTTGTTTTATCTAAGAGTTCAGCATTATCAAAACTCAGAGAAAGAGAGAGAGAGATATTCCTTAGAATGTGTTTAAAAATCAAAACAATTAACCGGGAATATGTTCTCTGAAACGTATGGGTGTAAGTTGTTTATAGCTATTTATTTAAAACCCAACGAAGTGGATTTTTTATAATAATATTTTTTTGAATCTACTGTCAGCCTATTCTGGTATGGTACACTTGTTCCTCCTTTCTCAGTATCATGATCACATTTCTATATGAACAAAATGTTTCAGTTTTCCTTACAAAAAGATAAATTGACACTTCACTTGGTCAATCAAAATTTTAAACATTTTTTTGACAAATTATCACGTCTTTTGCTACCAGTGTCTTACATATTTACAAGGTTCAATCTAGTTGGTTTGCGCATATGTTTTCACTCAGCGTTGTTTAAGACCTGCCACAGTACCCTTGGTTGTAGTCGCAATTGAAAACAATAACGTCACTGTTCAAATGACGTCAAATTGCACTAAAATATTTCGATTTTCTTGCATTCCTGGTAGGTAGTGACTATGCGTGTTGAAATCTCACACATTCTGGCATTTCTATCAATGTTTGTGTTTGAATAAATAAATGTTTTGATTAAAAAACAACATTGTAACAGAATTTATTTTGAGATATTCTGAATTTCTAAGTTAGATATCTATAAGTTTCTTCGTATTTCATTTTAACTTTTGAGTTTGAAAAAATGCAACCTAAAGTAAACACAACTAGTCTTTCTCCTTGAAAATGTTTATTTACCAATTTTTGTTGATAACTATGCGTGCAGTAGATTGACTTGCAAAAAAAAGAAATCTACGAGTCATTTAAATGCAATCAAGGAGAAATATTTTAGTTCCTACATAATAACAGAATTTGTAATTTTATTATCTTTTTTACCAACATCCCTCCCTCTTCGTTTGTGTTAAACAAAATAACGATTGAAGAGAAAATTATTTCATAATGTAAGGAACATTTAATTTTGAGAAACATATACACCACAACAATCATTTCTTGATATTTTGCAGACTACAGCAACTTATGAAGTACCTTAGATATAATTTAAAGTCCTTTTTTGTGTTTTGATATGCCCCATTTTCACTACAATAAAGGCTACCCCCACTTTTCTTTTCATTTTTGGAATGAGGAATGGATACTGCATAATACATGAGAACAGCAAAAAAATTTCACCATTTATTTTTTAATTCATCAATTCCATCGTTTTTATATAGTTTTAGGACATATTTGAACGTAAAACCATGAGAAAATGTTCATATTTTGAAATTGTCTCCGTTCCACTACAATCAAGGCAAGGTAACAAAATTTCAGTCTAGATTGGGCCTCGTTAAGATATGTCAGCTTTTTATAAATTCTATGGTTGTAATAATGACCTTGTTAGCAAATGAATACAGTAAATCATTTGATCGTGTTTGGACTGTCATATTTCAGACCAATTGTTAGACCTTTATTTCTATACTAAATTTGACTACGGATTATTCCGTCTACCTAATCACAATGTCTGGCTCAGGACAGGTGTAACTGGTCAACAGGAGAGGCTTATTCCTCTTAGGCACACGATCTCTGGAACTTCCAAGGGTCTTTGCTTATGCGCTGTTCATATTTGTTTTATTTATAGCTTTTCAAAATGGATTATTGCTTCATAATTTTTTTTTAAATTTCTTTTTTAATTCTTATTTTTAATTTTATCTCACTAAGAGTAATTTTAAAATGACATTAAACAATATCATAAAGAATGTAATTTCTTCACCAATACCCTGAATACCAATATTCCTCCCCAAAAATATTTGGAAGCTCAAAAGCCTCCCTTAGCTCCAGAAACAAAGGAAAAAGTTAAAACTTACAAATAAGGTTCAATTCCACAACTAGATCTGTAGAGGGGTCCTTGGTATAAAACCTTGTGAACAAAAGGGTCCTCAGTTTGACTGGCCTAGAAATGTTCTTTTAAAAGCTATACAAATAGGTATTTTGAACAAGTGTACTCCTTTGTTTAGAATGTGCTGATGGTTACTATGACCAGAATTGTAATACCCAGTGTGGTAATTGTCGAGAGGGATTTTGTGACAAGAAAGACGGAAGCTGTCTATTATGGTTGCATACTGAACTGGAAAGAACCTTTGTGTCAAGGTAGATAGTTAGCTTCACAATGAGTGATGTGCAATATTTTTGTATTTACAAGTTTTATAGCCTGTGAATCAGATACTTCTAGCCATTAGATATTATTGATAAAAAGGAAGAAAAGTCTTCTATTTGTAAGAAGTGATTTTGTTTGCAATTAACAAGGAAAAAATAAAAATAAAAACTCACTCAATGATAGAATGTGCTGACGGTTACTATGACAAGAATTGTAGTGCCCAGTGTGGAAATTGTCTTGAAGGATTTTGTAATAAGAAAGACGGAAGATGTTTATCTGATTGCAAATTGAACTGGAAAGAACCTTTATGTCAAGGTAGATGTTATTAGTTATCAATTATGTACGGAGATTTTTCTGCATGTTGTATTTTATATCCCTGAGTCTGAATCATAGCTTATGCAATCTGGTGTTTTCCTTGTAAACCCTTCATTACAGTCGGATTTTTTTTTTTTTTTTTGTTTATAATGTACAACATAGAACGTTTTGATCAAGCTCTTTCCTGTAAACTGTTCAGGTCGCGTAGCCAGTCGAATAAGATTTTAATAAAGATTGCTCCCTTTGAATGAAAACTCAATACAAAAGAGAGAAAGAATTCATGTAGAAATTTGCTGATTTCACAAAAAGTCTGAGATAAATTTAATGCTTTATTTATTTATATCTTTATTTTATTTACATCATATTTGTGGTGTAGAGTAGAAAGACAATTTTTAATACTATTCTTTGAGTTGTATTTCGAGTATACAGAATGAGCCTAGATTGCATGTGTAACCGAATTAAGTATAAGGTTGCCATTAGATTAAATCAATAAATATATTTAGAAGAAGAATACCACTTTTATCTATTTTTAATTTAACCTGTGTCAATTATAGAATGTTCTGATGGTTATTATGGCCAGAATTGTAGTACCCAGTGTGGAAATTGTCTTGAAGGATTTTGTGACAAGAAAAATGGAAGCTGTCTATCTGGTTGTAATCTTAACTGGAAAGAGCCTTTATGTCAAGGTAGATGCTGAGGCTATCTTAAAAAAAAAAAATGTTTACCCTCTCCTGGTCGACTGACTAAAATGATCTAACTTTTTTTTTTTTTACCTCAAGGAAGCAATTTTTTTTATTTATTAATAACTATTTCAACTTCATGTTTGCAGGTGATTTTAAATTTAAAAAATTGTACCTACCTACCTACCCATTTTTTTTATCCTGAGTCGGGAGAGGACATTTTTTTGAAAGATGGCCTGAGTATCATTTTTGTAATGCGTTTTATTATCCTATTTACAACCATCAACTCGAATTTAGATGTATCAACGTCGTTTCCCAATTACGAATAGTTAGTTACAAATCGACTCGTATATTTCAGTGAACGATAATAAGAACACCAGTGTCTACAAAATCTTTTCCATGTTTGGGTGTTTAAATAAATACAGGTGATGAAAGCCAACTAATAACTAAACGTATGACAAACAAATGACATAAGCTTATCATACTCAAAATAACTTTTTTATGTAGTATAATTCCAACTGCTCCTGCAAATGATGTTTATATTTGCCAACTGACTCGATACAAAGGAACGCTCTAAGTACAATATTTTTTTTTAAACAAGATAAGATACTCTCAAAAGAGCTGATAGTACAAGGGCTTAACAATCCCAATCAAAGCAAGCTTTTGCAATTTCAAAGGTGAAAATAATTATCTTATCTTGCTTGTAAATACAATATGTCGTTGCATAGTCTTTTATCTAGCATTTTTTAGAAACATTTGTTCAGTCACTACTTTTATACTAAATTTGACTAATCTATATACCTGATCATTACATACGGCTCACAGCGAATGTGAACTGGAGATGCTTTGACCTCCTAGGCCCATGACCCAATATATGGTGTTTCAAGGGGTCTCTGTTTTTTTTTTTTAATTTTTTTTTTTTTTTTTTTTGCCCTGTTTCGTGAATCTTGCTTTTTTTTTTCCAAACATCGTTTTGTTTCTAAATTTATGAAATCAATCTCTGCTTGTTATCCTTTACCTAATATTACGGAAACTGTCTGGCATGTTTATTGTAACATATTTTTGGCTTTATCGAGTAAAATATTGATGTGAAAAATAATGAAAATAAGAAAAAAAATTAATGCCTATAGAACCTACAAGTTCTTAAAACTTAACCTATGTGAAATATAGAATGTGTTGGCGGTTACTATGACCAGAAATGTAGTACCCAGTGTGGAAATTGTCGAGAAGGATTTTGTGACAAGAAAGACGGATCCTGTATATCTGGTTGCAAACTGAAATGGAAAGAACCGTTATGCCAAGGTAAACATATAAACACTGGGAGCCAACAATGTTATATACATGTAAATATATTCAGCAAAATTTTTGCTTTAGATATGCATGTAATTCAGTCAGTTTAGTCCCTTGCAGTCTGATTTAAAAGCTTCAAAACAGAGCATTCAGTTTATTTTTATCATTTTGGTACTGATACATGAGCGAAAATAATTCAAATAATATTAAGACATTCTCACAACTTTTTTTTTATTTATTTGTTTGTTTGTATGTTGTTTAACGTCCTTCTCGAGAATTTTTCACTCATATGGAGACGCCACCAAATGCCGGTGGAGAGCTGCAAATTTTGTCCTTTAATCGGCACTTACGGCCAATGGGCAGTGAGGGAACTTTTTCGTGCCAGCACATACTGCGACACGGGACCTCGGTTTATACGATCTCATCCGAAGGACCGGTCTCCACGTCCCACAGTTGGATTCGAACCCTCGACGCAAGGATCAAATCCTTACTTCGCGACTCTAGAGCAGACGCTCTAACCACTGTGCCACGCGGGCGACTTTTTTTTATTTAACATTATGTTGTACGCATTTTAACAATAGATTCAAATTATTTGACTGAAGAGAAAAGATAAATATATCTTGAAATTTACTAAATTTATTTTTAAAAATGATAATAGCAAAAACTGGGACACAGAGCAGAATGTAAAAATCAGGTAATTTACAAACAATACAGTTTATGTCTATAGTCATTCTTGTGATTAATGATGCTTTAAGAAAAAAAAAATAACGGTCAAATAAAGTATTGTTATATATCTTCAGATGGTAAAACGTAATGCAATATATTGATTCGTTTAAAAGATATCAGTTTGTAATTAAGACAGATAGTTTTCATTAAAAAAAAAAAAACACACACACAACAACAACAACAACAACAAATGAGGCCGAAGGACGTCCTGGAGCACTGATTAGCGACAAAAGTTGTCTTTGCATTTGGGAAACCTCTAAAAGAAACTTTAAAAATGTAGGAGGAAATAGGAAATAAATAAAAAAAAAAATACTGTGTATTTGTAAATACAAGGAAAAGACAGTTTTCGAATGGTCAGGACTTCGAATCGGACGATTAATGATTCGCGAAGAAACAGATTGTAGTTTAAAATTTGGTCAAACAAGTTAGTATTGTCATGGAAAGTGTTTTGCGTGTCAGTGTTGTAAGACTTCTGAGTGCAGACTTACGCAGTAGAGAATTTTCAAACAACCTCAAACTAACTTCAAACTAAATTGTTAACAAACTAGGTATCAGGTGTTATGGATTATTATAATAATGAATGGGTATGACGCTACAAGCAGTGTTTGAAATGAGAGGTAGAGTAATTTTGATTGCTTTTCTCGTTGTTTTTGATGTTTTATGTTGTAAAGCGTGCCCTTGGTGACAAAACATGCTGATTTTTAATTGAATAACATGCGTTCCATTTAAGGGAATTGAACCAAACTTCACACATCGACAAAGAGAAAGTTTTTTTTTTCACATATGTAAACGTGTTGATCTTAAATCTTGTAAAAATAATTTGACGTATTTTTTTCATCTCAAATGAGCAGAAGGCTCAATTAAGCTTTTCTGATCAAAAAGTACCTGTTGTCCGTCGTCTGTCGTCTGCAAGTTTTTCTCATTTTCAACTCCTTTTTAAGTACTACTGGGCCAATTTCAAACAAACCTATCAGAGAGCATCCTTGGGTAAAGGGGATTTGAGTTTGTTAATAGGAAGTGCTACACCCTCTTTCAAGGGGAGATTATTAAGAATTCATGGAAATTTGTGGCAACTTTTAAAATCTTTTTCTCAAGAACTACTGTGCAATAAAGATGAAACATGTGAAAAATTCATTACATACACTACATTCAAATTTTTTTCATAGCATAACCCCCGGAGGTAGGGCTAGACCAGAAGAAGGGGTCGAAGTTTTAGATACATGTACGAATATATAGGAAATATCTTTAAAAACCTTCTTCTATAAAAATGCAAAGCCATCATTAGTCATATAATAATGGAAGTATCCTCAGATAGTAAAGATTCAAGTTTGTTCCAATTATGTCCCCTGGGGTAGGGCAGGGCCACAACAAGGGCTCAAAGTTCATCATAGTAATATATAGGAAACATCTTTAAAAATCTTCTCAGGAACAGCGTAGCTATTATAAGTCACATTCATACAGAAGTATCCCCAGGTATTGAGGATTCAAGTTTGCTCATATCATTACCGCCGGGTGTAGGGTCGGGCCACAACAGTGGGTCATAATTTTACATAGTAATTTATGGGTGTAATGGTTAAGGGACATTTCGGTAAAATGCATTTAAGATTTCAAATAGTGGAATTACCTGACACCCCTTGACATGGACTATCCAAAGGGTATATAATGCAAAACTTTTGGAAAGTCATGCATTCATAAGCTAGCTGAAGAAGTTGGACGTTGAATCCACAATAAAGAAGTTAAGGGTAAGAGCAAAACAAAAGTATTAAACACCAGTGACAAGTATCCTAGGGAAATGAAATTAAGTTCTGGGAGTAGTAGATCTGTAGAAGATTGAGACAGCCGGTTTTTATCTTTCAATAGGACCCTATGTGAGAAACACTGCAAGTTGTACCTTCTCCAGTCCGCGTCTCTAGATAAGAGAAAATTTAAGTACTGTGTAATTTACCTTCAGACAGAGCTCTCTTAATACGCATTCCAATCATTAGCTAAGACCGAGTAAAAGGAAACCCTATATATTCATTGTAGGAACCTTATCATACACGATACATAGAAAATATCTCAAAAAATGATCTTCTCGAGAACAGCTAAGCAATTATTAGTAATATTTATATATAAACAACTTAAGATATTATAGAATCACGTATGTTCAAATTATGAATCCTAGGGGTTGGGGGACACAACAGAGATTCAAAGTTTTGCATAAGAATATATAGGGATCATCTTGAAAAAAAAATTTCTGCCCAAAAACAGTAAAGACATGATTAGTCGGTTTATTATAGAAGCATCCATAGGTAGTGTAGATTCATATTTGTTCAAATAAATTCTGTAATTTAAACTTAACTCATATTAATTTTAATGAGGCTAGACCAACAATACACACAAAAGAAATTTTGTTTATTTGCACAGAGGAAACCATATCCATATGAACATTTCAGTAATGCAGACATTTTCAGTTAACAATTAATACACTTATTTTATTTCAATTAGATTTTTTACATTGTCAAAAACATTCGTTATCTAGAATGTGTTGACGGATTTTATGACGAAGACTGCAGTAGACAATGCGGATATTGTCTTGGAGGAGTTTGTGACAAGACAAATGGAACTTGTATTAGTGGATGTACAGCAAACTGGAGGGAACCTTTGTGTCAAGGTAGGATTTTTATTCTTTATTTTCCATTTGTTTCCTAGATGATTAAACCTGAACTAAGAATTATTTTTAATTAGTACAAAATATATATTTAAGCAATATATTATTCAACAGTAATCACTTATACATCTCAATACTTTGTTTCTCTTGCACCCTAACATTTTTTTTTTAAGAATGAAATTACTCCCATAATTAGTTCACTACTACAATGAACCAACAGCCTAATTACAAATGTAGTGCAATTTTGAATGGAATTGACAAAATAAGATAATACTGACTTGTATGGAACAAAAATCCGCACTTTTTGAGTAACTTTTTATACTTTTAGAATGTATTGACGGATTCTATGACCAGAATTGCAGCACTAAGTGTGGTGAATGTCGAAGTAAATTTTGTGACAAGAAAAATGGAAGCTGCTTAAAAGGTTGCAAAAGCAACTGGAAAGAACCTTTTTGTCAGGGTAGGATTTTTTCCCTACTGTTTGGCTATAAATAATTTCATTACATATCTTTTTATTGTATATTTAAATTCTCTGCTTACTCCAATTCACCCATATTAGAGGAATTAGAATATATTGGTTTTAATTAATGTTTCGTTGTGGATTTCTTATCAGTATATACATAAAAGTATTTGTCCTCTAGTAGTTTTTTTTTTTATCAAAAGTTGAAATCTATATCAATGACATTACTCTAATGATTAAAAAGTTAGTGTTTTAAGCATTCTTAGTCAATATCTATGTTATTCTGAGAAAAAAAGACATCAATTCCAGTTTTGCTAGGATTTATTTTAGAATGTAGTGACGGAATGTATCACAATACAGTTAAAAATATCGCATTTTATCGCAATTCGAAATTCCCAGCCGATACCCAGCCTACGTATCTCCTTTATTATTACTCTATTTATTGTCTTTAATCCATGATTAGTGCTATATTAACTATCGTGGCCTGAAAATGATTAAATTATTCATTATGTGTGTCTTAAGATACGCGATCATGTTAGATAAACCATTGTAATGTAAGCTTCCATAGCATCCCATCTTATGCTTATCAGCCTACGGAGGTCAATATGCATGTAGGTTGAGGGATATACATGCATTTATTATCAGGACTACGCATCAGATATAACCATCGAAAAAAAGAGCTATCGCTTTTTTTTTCTTTTTATTTTTTTTTTCAAATCCAACATAATGTTCTTTTGTACTTCATGCTTTTGTTAATTATTTCAAATATTTCATTTAATGAAACTTTTCAATGAAGTAAATGAACAAAGCAATCAATTTTCTCAAGTGTCCTGTATAGAACTCAGGCTCGTAATAAATTTAAATTTCATACCTCATACAGTAGAGTGTAATACAGTGTTTGTGTTGGAAATATGTATGAAAAATAACATATTTAATCATGCCTAGTATGCTGGTGCCATACATGCATTACATTCAGTGGTGTTGTTGACATGATGTAAGAATGACATTGATCCTCAGTTTTCATTTATATAGACTGCAAAAACGGTCTTATGATAAAAACCATTTAATAATATCCTTTTTTGAGTCCCTAAAAATTACTTTGCGTACATTTCGTTTAACATAAATAAAATAATATCACTAAATATGTTATGTCCACAGGTAAGGTAAGAGTCCTAAATTTTATAACATAGGCATATAAAAATAAGTACAACAAATATATTGTAATAAAATTGACGCGGTCAATCTCCGAGCTTATCATACAGGAAATAAATATTACATACCAGTATTTCGCTGAACATTCAAGATTCAACCAAGTTTCATCAACTAAAACATTATTAAGTCACAATCCTGCAAATAATTCGTATGTAAGTAAAAATTAAGAGTATTTGATGAAAGAGAGAGTTTTATTTTAAACTTATCAATTGCAAAACGATAGAGTTACGTCATGTGATTATTTACTTCGTAAGACAGGCGCTTCGTGTACAGCATGCATAGTAAACGCTAAAGAAGTAAGTAAATTACAGTTGCAATATGGTATATAATTAACAGTTGAAAAAATCTAGAGTCTCTGATTTTATTATCTGTTCCATAACACCTTACATGACCGTCTAGTACATTTGTTTAAATGACAATATCAAATAAGTGTAAGATGTATAGCATTATTTCCAATACAGCTGCAACTAAACAATGTTTTAATGCTTTACAGATCAATAACATTTTGATTTAAAGCTTACAAACCTGTAAACTTAGGACTATTCTAAAATGTAGTTCCAAACATATAACATGGTACTAAATCATTATAATATACATGTAATAGTATATTGAAGTCTATTCCAAAGCATTTCATTGTGGAGAAGTCCTAGGCCCTACACCATTAAAGTAATAATAGATACCACAGAGTCTGATTTATCTGTTTCATATTTTGATATTTTATTAGATAAAGGCACTAATGGTAGCCTAACAACCAATCTTTATGATAAACTAATGACTTTAATTTTTCAATCCCTTACTTCTGTAGCAATATACCCTTATAATCAGTAAGTAGGGTTTTTGTATCCCAGTTCATTCGATACGCAAGAGCAGCTCTACGTGTGAACAATTTCTAAAACGAGGCAAGCTATTGACAAACAAGTTGATGAAAAACAAGGATATCAACGGTTTCGTTTGAAATCATCATTTTGCAAGATTTATGGTCGACACAATGACCTTGTCAGCAAATCCAACACAAAGTCAAATGTTGACTGAAATTTTTCATACTAATTGTCTGACCATTATTTACACCCTGAATTGTCTACGGATTCTTCCATTTTTCCCGATCATGACAAGTTGTGACCGGTCGGCAGGGGATGCTCACTTCTTCATGGCACCTGATCGTACCTCTGATGTTTTCGAGGTCCGGGTTTCCTCTGCTCTCAATTTGTATTGATTTAATCGGCTTCAAGCTAGAATACTGTTCGCTATCTCAATATCTCATTATTGCAATATATTCAGTCATGTAATGTTGTCGTTTAAAAAGATCGCATAAATGTTTATAAATACATCAGTTATATTATATAATTTCTTGCATTTAAAGTATTTACTAACGAACCGGTAACTTTTTCATAAATATCATTAAAAAATCTATATGATATAAAAAAAAAAGAAAAGAAAAGAAATACTGACGTATAGTGTCACTACCTCATTATTTTAGTAACTAATATCTTTTTAGAGTGTATTGACGGATTTTACGGCCAGAATTGCAGCGCTAAGTGTGGGAATTGTCGTGGAGAATCTTGTGACAAGAAAACTGGAAGCTGTTTAAATGGTTGCAAAACAAACTGGAAAGAACCCTTTTGTCAAGGTAGAAGTTTTAAAGTATGCCGAAATGTATTCTTTTTCTAGAAATGTTCAAGTATATTTTTTCTGCTAAAACATATTAATCTATATTTGCGTCCCGACCAGAATCAAATATAATAAGAATTTTAAGAATTCTACTTAAGCAATACTTGTCCCTTATCGGCAAATTTAATCTTGTCTCCCTTGAAAATTAGAAAAAAAAAGTCATCATTTCATAAAGAGAGTCATTGAACCCGAAAAATTGCAAACTTATCTATAACCCATCAAAGTACACTTGTAGAATAAAATCAGCTCAATATCTACGAGTGTTTGAGATAAAAGTTCGAGTAACAAATTGGTAAATCTGATTCAAAACATCATATAAAGCAGAATATGTTCAAAATCCTAATCGTGAAAAGAAGAAAACACTTGTTGTGACCTTCAACTCAACATTTAGATATATCGAAATCGTATTATCAATTAACAATGATTTTTTCCATTCTTATGTCGATACGATATATCCCAGTGAGCATGAAATAAAAAATACAACGGAGTCTGATTCATCTGTTTCATATTTGGATATTTTACTACAAAAAGGCGTTGATGGTAATCTAACAAGCAAGCTTTATGATGAACGAGATGACTTTAACTTTTCAATCGTCAACGTCCCTTACTTATGCAGCAATGTACCTTCATTACCTGCATACGAGGTTTATATCTCGCATTTAATTCGATAAGCTATTGACAAACAAGTCGATGAAACAAGAATATCAGCAGTCCCGTTAAAAGTTGTCATTTCTTAAGTTCTTTGGTCTATACAATGACCTTGTTAGTAAATACAGTTTTCATTAAGTCAAATGCTGACTGACGATTTGATCATCATAATTGTTAGGCCATTATTTACACACTGAATTGTCGAAGGATTTTTATGTTATTTCCCGATTATAACAAGGAGCACAAGACGGGAGAGACCGGTCGGCAGGAGATGCTCACTCCTCCATAGCACCTGATCTCACCTCTGATGTTTTAGAGGACCGTGTTCGCTCTGCTCGAAAATTTGTATTGTTTAATGGACATCTGAGCTTGAATACTGTTCGTTACCTAAATACATTTCCCTGGAAAGACCATTATTTCATAAAAATAGTGGAAATATAAAAAAATATGCAAACTTAATCTATAACCCGTCAAGGTCCACTCATATCAGAAGTAAGCCCAATATCAATATCGTTTATGAAAAAAGAAAATTCGGAAAAAGTTGAATATACAGACAGGCTGAATGATAGCTGGATGGACATAAAGACAGATGGGAGACGAGAAGTGATCATTTACCTCCTTGCAGTTTCATTGCTAGAGAATTATTAGTGAGAGAAGTTCAAGGCATCTTTAATTCTCTGACCTACAACTAGAATCTTCCTTCCAACAGATATAGTAGTTTTTTTTTTTCCAATATGTTTTTATCTTCTTTTTCTTTTGGAAATGAGGTGCTATTTTTTTTTTTACTTAACAAGGGTTATGAACTGTATTACATGTATTTTCCTCAGGATATAAAGGAAAAATAGCGATATTCTAAAACTTAATGGAGAAATCAAGGCATTAAATGCTGTCCAAACTATTTATATTTAGAACATTTAGTTATGACAAACTCTTACACCAATGCAAATTCATAAACAAAATAAAATTCTTTTTTTCCCTTTTTCTTTGATGGTATATCGGTGAAAAGTAGTGGTTAATTATCCCTTCTTGAAGAAAAAGCATCACCTTCCCCAAGACAAGAGCATATCTTTATAAAGCTTTTGACGTTGTTTTATTTACATATATTTCTGATAATGTAAGTATAGAGAATCTCAAAAAAATAATAACAAAACCTACTTAAACTGGAGGATTTCAACTATAAATATTGCTGACTTGCACTACTTAAGTTCGTGCGTCACGAAACATTCCGAATATAACTCTTTTGTATCAAATATAAACGATAGTCAATGTGAATGATAAGGTTCATGTTCAAAGCTATGCCCACAGCGTCTCTGATCGAGTTTTATAGAGAGGGGATTTCGAAAACCCCAGCAATATCGTGTTCCCTTAATTGACAGTAATGACTATTTTTTTTTTGTTTCAAATAATGCAGAACTTACATTAGAAATGAATCAGAAGAAGCTAAATCTAATAAGAGAAATCTTATGCAAATGTGTATAACATATAAGCAGCGATAGGAAATGGTGTCTATTCAATGAATGAAAAGTATCAGATTGGCAAGAGTATATAAATTAAATCGCATGCTTTTCTAATTCAATGAAATAGAATGAAATCAAGGCAGTGTAAAAGAAAAAAAAAAAAAACAGATTTGGTGTAATTCTTTGTTTCATCATATAAGAAGGAAATTTATGACAAATCAAAGAAGTGTTGTTTAATTAAATTGACAAAGGTAAGACAGTTGGTTTCTTTTTAATATATTGCCTTAAAATTGAACATGGGGTGTTTGATGTTTTCTTTTTAGTATTTGCTGCAACACTAGAGGAAGAGGAAAATAATGCGGCCATAGTCGGAGGGACTGTTGCAGCCGTCTTAATTGCAGTATTAGCTGGAGTTTTCATAACAATATTTTACAGGTTAATGCAACAGTTCTAATTTTCTCATAATCTCAAATGCTATACAAAAAATGTCATTTATTTCATAACCGATCAACACCCAAGGGAAGATGTAATCTCTTCGATATTCTTCTGTTACTATAAAAATGGTGAATTTTGAAAAGAATGACAGGCAATATTAGAATATTATTCAGAGAGAAAAACTAGTTTTTTTTTTCATCTGTGGTACATATCTCATGAGTTTGTTATTAATTGTTCAGTTGATGCATATTAACCATTTAAACATTTAATTCTATTTCGGTCTTATAGACGGTATAGAAACAATGGTAGTCAAGAAGGTCTTATGGAAAATAATAAACATTTTGGAGTCATTGGAAGAAAGGCAGAGGGAAGAAGAAACAGGAAACGTAGGCATAATACACTTCGTCTATGCTAATTCAAGACAATGCATTATTTTATTTATTTAGAAAGAAGGTCATGTGTAGTTTTTAAAGTTTTACTATGTTAAATCTAAAGAATCACTTGAACAATTTTCTAAAAGAGAATGAGATGTGTAACAAAACATGTAATACTTAAAATTAATCAAGTCTTCAAGGTCTCTTAATTTGATTTTCGCAACCTTAAGACTAAAATAAATATGTTTTGTGGCAAAAAGAGAGAAAAAAAAAATCATGAGAGCTTTTTTTTAGATACTCAAGAGATATTATAATTAAACCAATATTGTTTTCTTCAGACAATCAAACAGAAGTGTTTGATGGATTGTGCAATCCAGGGACAAATCAATCAGATGAAGATGGACATTACAATACTGGCCAATTCATTACAAATATTAATATAGGGGATCTACGGAACGTTATCAACGAAAAGAGCACGGGAGAGAATAATCAATTTCTTCAAGAATACAAGGTTTAAGATATAGCAAATAATTATCAAAGCAAAACATGAAATATCTCGTAACCATTGATTATCAATTTGAAGCAAAAAGTCAAGGTTGAATAAAGAAAGATACGTAAATAGATTGATTATTGATGCAAAAAAAAAAAAAAAATGAGAATCGCACTCATTTTGATTAATTTTTTTGTAATAGAGACTTCCTCCGGCGAATCTGAACGTTTGTGAAAGTGCCAAAAAGACGGAAAACGTTGCAAAGAACCGGTTTAAAACAACATTTCCTTGTAAGACTATAGTATTGTTCTTTTTATATGAACATTCGGTGAATTTCCTTGTTAAAACCCATTACTGTTCATCATTTAATGAACTCTTTATTAGTTTGATCTTTTATTGATCTTTAATTTATTTTAGGCATTTGTTTATGAGATTTTCCAAAATGTAGGATCTTCCATAAATCCCATACTTTAATAGAATATACAACATTTCTAGTGTTTTTACTTTTTTTTTTCTTTTTTTTTTTTTTGCAAATGTAAGCAATATTATTTTAATGTTTGTTAAAACGAAGATCAAGGAATGCAAATGTCCCTTAAAATTTGCTATGGTTATTTATAGTTTACTATAGTTAATTATTGTTAAATTTGATACCTTGATTTATGAAACTTTACTCTCGTACTTTTAAGATTTCAATGCCTAAAATCTCTTTAATTCGATAATAGTGGTGTTCAATTAATACATTAATATACAAATGATAATATCTCCTTTTAATGTAAAAAAAATGTGTATGTTTGTTAATTTGATAACATAAAATATATCAATTTTAAATCCATAATAAACGTACTTTGATCTACCATAGTAAAAACTTTGCTGCTATAGCTAAGTATTTTTAACTATAGTAAACTATAGTTAACTTTTAAATTAGTATTTTTGTAAGGGATTGCAGAAAAAATGCATTGCCCACTCATGCGGGTATGTGTTTTTCTGCATAACGCCAACCATTTATTCTTGTGTCATAAAATAAGAAAACATTTTTAATTGTTTATCAAAAAAAAAAAAAAAAAATAAAAATAAAATAAAATAAATAAATAAAATAAAATAAAATTAAAATTTCAGATGACCATTCCAGGATCATTCTTAAGGAATTCTGGACAGACCCTGACAGTGATTACATCAAAGCCAACTTTATTTCGGTATGATTAAACATAAATTTGATAAGAATGTCTATATATTATTAAACCAATCATGAACTAATACTATGCAAAATGAGATTGGATTGTATATCATTTGTAGGATTGTAAAGGAGAAAATCGCTATATTGCAGCTCAAGGTTTGTCGTTATCATTGATTTTATTTACCATTGATAGTGGACTACTTTACCTCAACGAAGGAGAAAGCATTCGCTTTAGACGATGAATATCGAGAAAATTAGGTTTTATCTCAAAATCCATTGAATAGATTAACTGAAAACATATGTTTGAGGATCTATTGGGAATTAGAAGTTTATTCTACAATACATGTGTACATCTCCCCCTTCCAAAATTCAACAATATAATTTGGAAGCCCCCTTTATTCGGAAAACAGTTTCTACTTAAATTGGTATTTTGTTAAACTGCATTTTGTTTCTTCATAAAATAATAATTTCTTTTAAAAATGATCTGACTTCAAATATGTTCACAGGGCCTAAGAACAACACATTGAAAGATTTTTGGAGAATGATTTGGCTAGAAGACATTTAAGATATTATCATGCTGACTAACTTAGTAGAAAATGGAAAGGTGAGAAAAACATAATTCTAAAGATGAAACACTATATATACTTGCATTTTCTTTGTTTATTTGTAAATTTATGTAATTTTGAAATGTATATTTTTTAACAATTCGGTTTTTCTTTAGCACAAGTGCACCCAATATTGGCCAAATAACGATAATTCAATGCAAATTGGTCCATGTAATATATCTCTATTGGAGGAAATAGTGTATACATTCCATACATTGCGAAAACTTTCGGTAGAAAGAAAACAAGTAAGAATTCAATATATTCATATGACCTTATATCTTTTTATGTTCATAATCTTTTTGATAACTTTTTTTTCTGTTAATGTGTATCCAATGTAAAGATGAATTCATATAATAAAAGGATTTTATAGAACATTCTATGACTATAATCATAAAATATCATAGCCAATGCTTTTCGTAACAGCATAAAACTTATTTTCCTGATATTTTTGTGAACGATAAGAACAAATTCATTATTTATTAATCAGTTATAATTTATGTTATTTATTCATTATTTATGTTATTTATTATTTATGTTATTTACGATTTATTAATTATTTATGTTATTAATTATTTATGTTATTTATTTATTTATTATTTATTCATTATTTATGTTATTTATGATTTATTTATTATTTATGTTATTTATTATTTATGTTATTTATTATTTATGTTATTTATGATTTATTTATTATTTATGTTATTTATTATTTATGTTATTGTAACGTTTTGGGGTATAGCTGTGGTTTTTGAATATTCTTTTACCCGCTTGATGGGTTACGTTACAAATATTGTTTGTGGGTCTCTTATTTCTGAGATTTACCTTAATTAAATGAAGAGATTTGTTTAACTTTAAAAAGGAATTTATTAAAACAATAATTTATGATTAATAAAACAATCAAGAAACAATTATGGGTAATTATGGGTCACCCAGGGATCAATTTACCTAATGAAAACATATGGGTGGCAGATTCTTACTCATAATTATGGGTGTAAATGAGTTGGGAATATTGGAGCAGTTCAGTCAAGGTGTTAATACGACTGACCAACGTCCCAAACTGGAGGACGTTCAAAACGTCGCCTTTATATACCTTTCGTACAACGGTGCGAATTACTTCACGCGCGAGTAACAAGCGGTACCGCTAGTATTCGCGCGATGTTTGTATAGTTACAACTTTTGCACTAAGTAAAAGGCTTTAACATTACAAAGGCGGGAAAAGGGATGAATTGTTGTTTTGTAATTGTTTTGGAGACAATGCCAAGCTGATTTTGGGTATGTCAGTCGAATAACATAGCCAGATGGTCTTTTGTAATTACGAGAGGGCTGATCTATGGAGGAAATTCGGGTTTGTACAATACAACCGGACGATTTTCATAAAATATACATATAAGATGAGACATAAAGCGTACATTAATAACATACAATAGTTGGTGATATTCCTATTTTCATATAAATTAACGACATGTAGATTTAATATTTAGGGTATGAATTGGGGTGATCCAATCTATGGGTTGTTTGGATAAGGGGAAAATCTGTAACATTATTTATTATTTATTCATCATTTATGTTATTTATGATTTATTTATTATTTATGTTATTATTTATTTATTCCTTATTTATTTTATTTATGATTTATTTATTATTTATGTTATTTATTATTTATTCCTTATTTATGTTATTTATGATTTATTTATTATGTATGCTATTTATTATTTATGTTATTTATTATTTATTCATTATTTATGTTATTTAATTATGATTTATTTATTATTTATGCTATTTATTATTTATGTTATTTATTATTTATTCATTATTTATGTTATTTATGATTTATTTATGATTTATTTATTATTTATGTTATTTATTATTTATGTTATTTATTATTTATGTTTTTTATTATTTATGTTATTTATTATGTTATTTATTATTTGTTATTTATTATTTATGTTATTCATTATTTATTTATTATTTATGTTATTTATTATGTTATTTATTCTTTATTAAATATTTATGTTATTTATTATTTATATTATTTATTATTTATTTATTATTTATGTTATAAAAAGCCCTACAGTAGGAGAGTCTTTACGCAATATCACTTCACCGCCTGGCCAGACCACGGTACACCAGAGGAAGTGGCACTTGTTCAGTTCCACAGATTTGTAGCCAATAGAATACACACAGACGTTCCATTACTAGTGCACTGCAGGTTTGTCACTTTTACAAAATAGAAATCTATTTTCGAACGAAACTTAACTCTGCACTAAAAAAAGATTACTTACTTTCACTCAAAATAAGTAATCAAATTACTTGGTTCAAGTAATTTTAAAGTAAATATGTTTGTCACTATAGCAATCATTTTAAGTAATGAGTAATATTTTCAAGTAATCACAAGTAATATCCTTCTACTAGTTTTAGAAATGGCAATAAGTAAAAAGATACTGAACATAAGTAAATAAAATAATTACTTAGGTATTTTGAATTACATAGTATTTCCAACTATAATTAAGCATTTCGTTTTCTTAAAAACCCGTAAAATCTAGAAATAAAATGTTCATTTTAAGTAAAAAATTACTGACAGATTCTTTTGAAATTAGAGAGCAGTGATCATCACAAGTAATACAATTATTTACAATTACTTAAGTATATAACTAAGATAATTATTTGCATAAAACTGCTGCTTTAAATTTCAGATTCTCTGCTTAGCCACCACTAAATGGGAATACTTAATAATGTAATCACACACAAGAAAAACAATTTTACAATCCAGAAGCAGATTTACTTTTTAAAATATTTGCAGATGAAGCATCTGGCATGAAAAAAAAAAATATTGCAAAGGTTACTCCTTATTTATACATTTGCTTATATGTATATTTTAATGCATTCTCAAGCTTGAATGAAATTTTCAATGAATAATAAGCATGATTTAGAAAAAAAATTCAAGACTATTTCTAAGTTGTTTACAGTATAACAAAAATTGATAATTTATAACCCCTACACTTTTGTTAAACCCTTGGATAATATAAGCATGATTGACAAACCTCAATGGTTTTCCTAAGTTGTTTACAGCATATCAAACAAATTAATGGTCTGTAACACCTACACTTCTATTTAACCCTTGGATAATGAGCGTGATTGGCAAAACGTCAACACTTTTTCTAAGTTATTTACAGCATAACAAATAAATAGTCTATAACCCCTACACTTCTGTCAAACTCTGGATCATAATCACTGCCATTTACTGTCATTCAAATATATCAGGCTCAGAGATTTCTCGAACGCTTCTGTAGCCTTTCTCATGAAAGGAAGATCTTCATGCCCTTTGTCTTTCAAAACTTCACCTTGGACGTAAAGCAATGCTGAATTGCACTGTAAGGGGTATGAAAGCTGTGCCACGTTATACATGCCCATCGAAGCAAGGACTGCAGCGTGTGGTTTTCATATCCTGCAAACTTCATTGCACCGAATCATTAAGCTAATGACTTCTTCTCCTCCAAATTTTTGGAGCATTGTCCAGGGCATATTTGAGGTTCTGTGTTTGGCCACTATTTCTTTGAACACCTTATATCTCTGCAACAAAAATATACTCAAAATAAATATGCAAAACACTTTAAAGTATCATGGATGAAATAATATTTTTCACCTTGACAATGTGAGCAATAAGTGGCACTTTTGTTTCTTCTTTTTTTAAATACTGAATATCACAGTATGCATCTCCTCCCCAAGAATTTTTTATCACTCCTCTCTCTTGAGAAAAAATAAAGCTAATTCATTATTGATAATTTATGGACATGCATCTACATAAAATATCCGCTTCAGCACTGAACTGATATGATAACAATATATATGCATGTTATTGACGCTAACAACATTGGTGAGTCATAAATTGATTATTATGATGCAATAACATGATTAGTGTGCGGTTTTGCAAGCAACTGTGCGTTGAAATATACTGAATCTTCTGAACTGTGTAAAAAAATCAATATTACATGCACTTTACTATGGTAACCTTTTTTAATTGACAATAAGTTTAGTATTAAACAATGCTTATAATTTAAGTTTAGAAACAAAACAAAAAATTAATGCCTTTTTGGAACAGATATTGTTCGCACTAATCAAATGTATATTATTTCCTGGATTATTCCCAATGGACGGAAATTCACACCAAAAGAATGTCAGATTGCTTTTGATGAAAGTGATGGACTACCAGAATCTGGGAGTTTATGCATAAATTTATGCATACATTGTTTTTAAAAAGGCTGTGCTAGTTTTCATTTACCTTTTTTAACTCTGAACATGCCATAGGATCATATGTTTTATATTATGTACATATTTAGTATGTCCTATAGATGCTATGAATAAAAACTGGGTGAAAATTTGTACATGTTTGTGCAGGATTATTAGATGTGCTGATTTTTAATCTAATTTCTGTTTTAAGTAATTTTGAGTAAGAGTTACAAATTCTTTTACTTAAAATTTACTTATAATTACTTAAATGTATTTCTTGAATATTCTAAAACACTTTTAGTAATTTTATTATTTGCATTAAGTAATTTTAAGTAAAATCATTAATTACATAGTGATTCTTAGTAATATTCAATCCTAGTCAGTTATTATCAAGAAAATAAGTGAATACTTTACTTGATTAAAGTAAAAAAAAATACATAGTATTTTTTGTTTAGTTTGAGTATGAGAATGGTTTTTAAGTATATGTTATTATAAGAGCTCATTGTCTCCTTTTGCGTAGTCATTAAATAAGCTTCATTTCTATATGTCAGGAGTCTCAGACAGATGTTCGTAGAAAACAATTTGAATATCAGATTCACTGAAAAGATTTAGTGCATTTCAAGTTGAGAAATTAGTTTGAAAGAAACATTTATCGACATCATAGAGAATTTGTCTCAATGCAACCCTTTGCAATCTGTACTGTAAGTTAGTTAATGTAAGTTGTCTAAATGAAATAATATTTTGATGGTGAAAAGTATATGTAAACGGTGTCGATAATTCAAGAAAGACAGGATAAAGAAAGATGCAAGCATCAATATTCGTTAATGAATCAAACTTCATCTAGATGTTTTTTTAAAAAACTAACTTTCTTGTTTTTGATTTTGGATTTATTAAGGTAAACTTTTTGAGTGACATCAATAATTTACTTTTGCAGTTTTGCCTTGCGCAAAAAGTACCTTAAAAACAAATTCTTTATCTCTAAAATTTAAAACAAAATATAAGTAAATTATGTCCAGTTTAGGAATGAAGGTACGAAAAGGATCGGCTCGGTTTCAAGCATTGTATTTTATTTAAAATTTAGAAGTATAAATAGCAAATCAAAGTCAAAATTATGTTTCTTGCTTTGTAAAAAAGATGAATTTTTAAAATCCAAAGCTTCAATTGTACAAAAATTATGTGCATTTTACGAAAATATAATTCATCTGATTTATAATCAGCCTTTATGCATACAATACGAATCCGTTTATCACTAAGACAGCATGTGTCAATCCTTACTTTTATATTGCCCTAACATACCTGTACATTTCCTTAATTTCAGTGCTGGCGTGGGTCGTACAGGAACATTTATTGGACTTGATTCACTCCTGAGACAGGGAAGAGACACTGGACAGATCAACGTTTTCGAGTTTGTCAAACAAATGAGAGAGAATAGAATGACAATGGTTCAAACGCCGGTAAGATTTTGTCTATATTAAATACTGGACGTAAATGTATCTATCCAATCATAACAGTAGAGAATTCTTTACTTTGTCCAAACAAACTAACCGCCATTGTTTACACATTCATTCATAAAATTATTCCAATTTTCATATGCACTCTTTATCACAAAGGGAATGAAAATATTAATTTGTTTATAACATTTTTTGCAAACACTCAACATGAGAACAAAAAAAAAAAAACAACACAACATTTTATTCGTCTTTCGTCGTAGATTTTGCTCCAGTATGAATTTTCTAAACACAAAATTATTAAGGAAAGAAAAGAAATGAAGATAACTCAAATATTCAGTAAAGAGAACAAATCGTAAACAGAGCAAAAACTCAGACCCAATTGATGTGATTATTTCTGCATCGTGTGATATAGAGGATGCTCATGGGGAAAAACAAGATTGTTTCTGAAATGTCCCTTTCAGAGTTCATCTCATCCTTTCAGGAACAGTATGTTTTCCTGCATGAAGCATTAACCTGTGGATTCCAGGGTAACTCTCTTCTGTCAAAAGACGAATTTCCGACAAAAACGGAAGCATTTCTGAATGACAACACACCCTTAAATCAGAGCGCACTTTACAGAGAGTTTAAGGTAAAATATTATTATTGTAAAAAGTAATAAGTATCAAAATTTGAGTGTGAACTTGCTTTATGATTTTTCCCTTTTTCTAGCTTTTACAAACATTGAAATCAAGCTACAACTGTGGAAATGACGAAGACGCCAGGAAGGCTGAAAATATCAATAAGAACTATAATGAAGACATACTACCTGGTAGGATATTACTTAAAAGACAACCGAAAACAATCTCTATCATGTCTAGATACTTTTTCCTATGACCTTTTTTTATAGAACAGTAAAGCAATTAAATTTTTCCTTTTGGTTTTCATACACATGAAAGGAAACATATTTTTACCTTTAGTTTCAAAGTATCGACCGTACCTTACAACGTATGTGAAAGGAAGGAATGATTATATCAATGCGGTGATGGCACCAGTAAGTATTAAATAAACAGCATACAGTATTGGTATGAAGAAAAGTGTGCATATTAAAATTTGAAAGATAATCTGGTTTAATTCTGTTGCTTCACATTTCAGTCTTATATAAATCCGTCTGGATTCATAATAACCCAAAAACCTCTTTCAAATACTGAGGTTGATTTGTGGAGATTGTGTTTTGACCATGAAGTTCACGCATTGGTGGTGCTTAATGCCAAAGATGAGGTATAACATTGATGTTATCTTAATTTCTTAAGTTTAATCTTAATTTTACCATACACTTAAAAAGTTCTCATTTTTTCTTAATAGATTTAAACCTTCAATATATGCTGTTTTCGAGTTTGCATTGGAACACAAGATGATATTATGGTACAATGGCTGCAACGTTATTGTTGACAAACCGATCATGTAGAATCGTTCCTGAAACGTGCGTGATCGTTCGTGTAACGTGAGAGATCGTGCGTGTATCAGGTTCAATCGTTTGCGGTTTTAATCGTGCGTGATCGTGCGGTAAGAAACGTGCAAATTTCATTTTGTTAGATTTTATCCTGTAATTTCTTAAACAAATATTTTGCCTGTCTGTTTTTCTTCGAAATGAAGCACGATTAATCGAACGAACTAATTATCGGAAGTAACTAAGCAATAATATTCTATTCTCTTAAAATAGCAAAACTTTTAATGATTAAACGTAATAAAGTTGTTTAACGATTTTTTTCTCTGATGTTAATTATTTTTACTGCTAATTGTTGTCAAGAAATTCTTTATATCAATTCATAAAAAAATGTATATCTTTATCAAAAATATATAAATCCCAATGCGTACATAAATATTTAGTCGGCGAATGTACACGAATGATTTTCGGAGTTAATTTTAGCAGTGTTTATCCCTGATACTTATTTTTTTGTTATAATTTCTGCAAGTGAATGAATCGTAAAATAATTGCTGATTCTATATATTCAGAAATGGCAAGATGGATATATTTTGAATTCATTTTTATACAATTTTTTATCCCCCCCCCCCTTTACTGCTGACATAAAATCGTAATAGAATTGAAACTCAAGGTCCACCTATATCTTTTGATAGAACATTCAGCAATCGATCATAAATTACATCTTTGCGTATCGAAAAGGTAAAAACAATTCAATTTTTCTATGTCGACGAATTTTATAATTATTTGTAATCTAAAATAACTATTAAATCTTATTTGTTTCAAAATTATCCATTTCTAAATATTTTTTTTTCAGTTTTCCAAAGTCTATAAATTGCATCAATAATTCTTTGTAATCTAAACTAACTTATCATGCCTTATATCAATTTGAAAATATCCACTCCTAATATTTTTTACTATTTTGCGTGAAGAATAGTGCGTTTGCGATGGCAATCGTGAAAGATCGTGTAACGTTTAGAATCTTGTGCGTGAAGAATCGTTCGTGTAACAAGTTTAATCGTGCGTTTATCGTGCGGAATCGTTCGTGTAACGTGATCGTTCGTGTAAGTTGTCAACAATAACGTTGCAGCCACTGTACGAGGGGTGATCAAAAAGTTCGCCAACTAGTTGAATATCTTCCATAAAAGAAATAAAATTAGATTTCGGTGTTTATTATTTTTTAAAGTATTCATCTCCGATTTTAAAGCACGTCTGCCACCGTTCTGTCCATGCACGAATCACAGAATGAGAATGGTGACCATCACAATCCGACTTTTTTGTCTTTTTCCATCGTGGATGAGATACGGATACATTCTTTTTATCATATCTGATATGTTTAATGTCTAAAGTAAACGGTACTTTCGTGATTTAATCATAATAAAATTCTTAAAATATTCAACGATATTTCTAACTGTAACTTGGCGATCTTTCATAACAAATTGCTCAACTAATGACACATCTACTCCCCAGCGTACTTTCACTGGGCACCACAAAAAACTTAATTTTTAACCATCTCCCGTCCTTCACTAAAACAACCAATCCAATTAATGATTGAACTTCTGGCAAGTCTTTTGTCTTAATAAACCTTGTACAAATTATTATATGCTACTGCAAAGGAATTTCCAAATTAAACGTTAGACTTTACAGCCTTTCGTTGCTCGAGAACGACTGAGTCAGACCTTTTTGGTACAAGTCACCTACATTTTCACATTGTGATGTCACAAACATGATGGAAAAAACGTAACACCTGCTATTTATAGAACATGTTTAAGACTATTTGTGTGCCAAATTTTATTCTGATCTGAATAGTGGTTTTGTAGATATAGAGATAGTTCGCGAACTTTTTGATCACCCCTCGTATATGCTACTTTTAGGCATGTGATTGGCTTCCGAAGAGAGGATTGTCTAAGGCTTGTATTCCTTTCACCCTTACAGTTGGCGCCACCAGTAGCAATATCGGTGGTGTATCACAGGACCATCTAGTAATTTCAAGCGATGTAAGATTATCTATTAGCATATTTGTCTGGAATGGCACAGATATAAAGAGAATGATTTGAAATTTTTTTTAGAATTGTTTATAAAGTGGATATTAGCTAGGAAATTATTACCTCCATTTACGGTGTATCAGCATATATATGAAGACCTTTTTTTGAATATAAATAGAAGGCGAAGAAAGAAATAGAGGTTTTCCAAATACATGCTGATGATAATGATGCTGTACTCAAAGCCGCAGAACTCGTACGAGGAAAGGCGAAACAATCGTCCTTTACTTCTGTTGTCATAAGCAAGCAAGTATTACCATTGGGATAAAATGCATATAGCAATAAATTTGATATTTAGTTGCAGATATAGAACAGGCTAGGCTGTTGTGATAAGGTATTCTTAAAAAAAGTTAAGTATTTATTTATTTATTAAAATGGAACGGTAAAGCACAGTTGCTAGGGAATAGATACAATGTTCATTGCCTACTTTAGGGACGGAGCAGGGCCAGCTGGTATGTTCTGTGTCTTACATAACGCGCTTCAACAGATCAGTACGGATGGAGAGGTTGACATATTTACCATAGCCCGGCAGTTAAAGGTTAGAAGACCGGAAGTTTTCACAAAGCTTGTATGTAAACAAATATCATATATTTTAAATTATATTTTTTTAAATATCTCAAGAATTAGATTGCATATATTGTTTATCAAGTATATATCTAAAGAATACTTGCATCAGTTCTTATTTTAGTATATTTTTTGCAGGAGGAGTACAGTCGATGTTATCAGTTGGTGTCCCAGTCTGTTTCAACAGAAGGAATATATGTCAATATGTGATAAGGACACCGCTTACGTTTCTTTTTTTTTTTACTTGTTTTTACAAACATCATATAGTATTCCAACATATTGCAGTAGACACTTTATAAACTATCTAATGTTATCGGTTATTTCCTCCTAATATGTTAAAATGGAAAATAAGAAGGCCAAAAAATGTTCTAATATTTGTACAAAATAGATAATGGTAAATTTTTAGCTAAATATCAACATAATGAAATGATGATGAACATCGGAATTTTTAACATGATATAAATAAACTTTAAAGTAAAGCCTTCTCTGAATTGATGTATATAATGATCTTGATTGATGGAAAGTTACTAAGTTAATGCAATTGACATATTTTGATGCTAAAAGCTAGTCAAAATTTTAATTTTAGATAACGAATGTTAAATCAGCAGAAATTTTCTGTAAATTATTAGCTGAAACTTGCGTCTGCTCCTCACACAGATTTCCAGTTTATATTTTTTATATCAGTATGCTCTATTAATCTTTTAAAGCATTGAAACTGAAACTGATTTATTTGATTAAACGCCTATTTTTACATAAACGTATTCAATGGCGTTGTACAGTAAAACTGTAAAAAAAAAAAATATTTACATATAATATATACAAATAAACATGGAGTCATGATTAAAATTGAGCATCAATGCCCATTGCCTTCCCTGTGATTAACTGGAAAATATTCCAGTTTGATTTTTAGCTAAATTCTGATTCCAAAGAAATAATAATGCCATCTAGTTATTGTTTTCATCAAAATAACAAGGATACCTTTATATATATATATTTGACATTGTAAATATCTGAATAAAATTAAAGTGAAATATTACACTGTCAGTCGTTCTATATTTAAAAAAAAAAAAAAAAAAAAAAAAACTTGTATTCAACTGTACATGGTACTAAATGAAAAGGGTTAAAATGGTCTCCCAATGAACAACCATCACTACAAAGGACCAAAGTGTTTTGAAAGGGATATATATGATATTTCAGTTGTTCTATATTTTAAAGAAATAACTTGTATACAATTGTACATGGTACTAAATGAAAAGGGTTAAAATGGTCTCCCAATGAACAACCATCACTACAAAGGACCAAAGTGTTTTGAAAGGGATATATATGATATTTCTTTTAAAATATTTTTTTCTCAAAAAGCAAAGCTATATTATTCGTTATTATAAAGACACATCCCCGGTAATGTAAATTGAAGATTATTCAAATCATGACCCCTTGGCGTACGATGGCGCTACAACGGGGGATGAAGATTTTACGGAGGAATATTAAGGAAATATCTCAAAAATTGCTTTTTTTTATGAACAGCACCAAGATATGATCAGTCATATTAGTATAGAAGAATTTTCAGGGATTCTAGATTCAAGTGTTTTCACATCATGACTCTGAGAAGATGGGCGAGACCATATAAGGATTGTGCATAGGAATAGGGAATATATTTAAAAATTTCTTTCTCTTGAACAACAAAGCGGTGACTCCTTCTTGTAGCGTCGGATAGAACATGAGGATCAAAGTTTAAAAGAAGAAAGAAAAAACCATTTTCAGGAATAGCAAACGCATAATTTGTAATATTTATCTGAAAGCCTCCTCGGGTAGTGTGAATAAAGTTTCTTCAAAATCCTGACCTTTGGGTTAGGATGGGGGCATATTATGTGATCAAGGTTTTGTTTAAGAATATGTAGGAAGGAATGGCGATAGTTATATGTACTCAGGTAATCTTTATGCCCATAGGGGCTCTTTTTTCCTCAATGTAACTAGTAATATTTATGTTGTTTTTTTTTCTATTTGCAATATTCCAATAATATTCTTTATAAGTAAATTCATTGTCACGTTTACTAGGCAAACTGCTCCACTCAGCATATGTATCGAAATATATCAATGGTTTACATTATAACAAATTAAAAAAATAATAACTTTTTTTTTTCTACAGCTTTCACAGCTACTTACATATTGAAACATACTATGGGTAAGATATACGTTTTCCTAATCTATAGTACTAGTCCTCTTTATATTTATACGTTAAAAAAAATTAACTGAGAATTAGTATTTCTTTATTAAAAATAAGATCATTCATTGGAATTTCAATATTTTAGGTAATTGAATTAAATTCTAAAAATACAAAATGTCATTTTTACAACAATATGCTGACTAAAAAAAAACAAAGATATAAAAATCAAAAGAAGATTATACGTCTAAAATAGGAATTAAATACCAAAAGGCCTTTAAAAAGTATTTTAAGATTCAGGTGGAAGTTTTAAGCTTTGAAATAAAATATCACAATGTGATTTCTATTTTCATTTCTTCTTTACATATTTGATTGAGTTTTAAGCTGAGATATAACATAAGAATGAGATACTGAAAAAAACATACATTTTACAATGCGTTTTATATCACTTGCCTAAGTCCTCCCCTACTGCAGAAATTTTTTGCAAACTCAAAAAGGTTACACATCAGAGATTTCTTGACAGGCAGAAAAGATCATTACAGTTGTTGTGGTTGTGTCAAGAAAAGAGGTAGGGGCTCCAAGGGACAAAATCGGTCCCATCTCAAATAATCTAATAGTTGTCATTGCAACGACCTCTGTTCAGAAATACGTGACTGCATTAGAAACAGAAAAGAAATATTTCAGAAACTTCACAATTTTATAATTAAGTCATTCTTAAAGTGTTGAAGTGTTTAATTGCAAGGTAGAGCTTATCAGTAAATTATTATGAAGAATTCTTACACCTGTGTCAATTCAATATTTCCTCTAAACAATATAAATCTTCTTAATAACGGGTTTTTTAAATATCGTCCATGAAATATGGCTTTAGAACCTTGTGGTTTTGGATAAACAATTAATTATTCTTTTGATTTACATAATATTATTGAGTGAACATTTCTAAACCGTCATCTCTTATTTATTTTGATAATCCGCAAAATACATTAAAATCAAGCACGTTGGAGCGGGAGGGGTAGTGTATGCGCCCCTCCTTGTTAGTTCATTTTTTTGCTTTCAACTACATAAAATATATATATAGTTAATGCATTTAAAAGCTTTCATCAGGTTCGTAGCACTTTTCAATTATCGTTATGCTTCGTGCGTTTATGTGTACAAGCTTGGCATGATCCATTGATCTCACCTCTGATGTTCTCAAAGGTCCGTATTTGCTTTGCTCATTTTTTTTTATATATCATTGGAGTTTAGAGCCTAATAACTGTTTAATATTTCATTGATACTTCATTCTTAATTACAACAAGACTTATCCTTTGCATATGCTAGTCATGTGTTGTTGTTCCATTTAGATGCACAACGAAGCTATGTTAAAGCTGTCCGAAGGCTTAATATGCATTAAAATATACATTTTATTTTGAGCTATATTTTAATTTCAATTTGTAATCTATGTATGAATTTCCAGTCAACTTGTGATAAGAGTGTAGTCAGGTATTATAATAATGCATTTTTGTGATGTCACATGACTTTGTTGATCACGTGACGGACACTTATAAATTCCTATATGTTCCACAAAAATCGCATCGGCACAAGTGCAAAACAACATTACTGAGAAAAAAATTTCACATAAGTCAATTCATCGTGATCTTTGGTACATATAAAATGCTGGGGGCAGGTCTGAATTTTACTTCTTGAGAAAATATTCCACGAGAAATTCAACTTACCCACATACAAGGGGGCATTTGCCACTCTTTATCGCAATTTATGCAAAATAGGATAAATTACATACAATCCCCCAGCAAAATTCAGTTAGAGGACATTCTTCTCTAGTAGATTCACAGCGAATATCTTCAATTTATCCTTATTAATCACTTGTGCCAGACAAATATATACACGATTTATAAATTCAAACTCTGTCCACGGGCGTATAAGGGGGAGTGTTTCACAGTCAGTTTTTGTTACTGTTTGAATATATGTATATTGGACAAGTTAAAGGAATAACGATATTAAATTGCAAACGTTCAACATCATAACAGCACAATTAAGCTTAAAGAAAAATCCAGATATTTAAATCAAACAATAACGCTAAAAAATCTTTAGATGTCATAAGAAAGGAATGTAAAAGTTATGACACTTTCCCCGTCATGTCAGCTCAAGTATGCAGTGACTTGACGTCATATGCTATTATGACGTCATATCTAGGTAGTTCAGAGAAGTTACTACAATTGGAACAGTTTGACATTTTACGGACAGCCTTATCCTAGCCGCGAATAAAGTAAACAATGTTAAAGCTATTATCACTACCTATTAGCATTTGTATTTCAAACCCATAACATTATGTACCAAAGACAAAGCATAACTCATCTTATCCCTCGATATATACCGAAAGGAAAAAGAAACACAGGGTAAACTTTTGAAGTGTTTTTTTTTTTATTTATTTATTTATTTATTTATTTTTGCTATTTTTTCAAACGTATTTCCCAGTATCTAACATTTAGACTCATCTTTAGTAAACAAGTAACCGAAATTTCATTTGATTTTGACTGATAATTCATGAGTTATTGAATCTCGAGAGATCAGCTCAATTTTCAACTTATAGCCTCTGAGTTCAATCAGGTTAACCGTATTGAATGAAATCCGCACTGAATGACTAAACTTCAAACGGCGAAAGACGATTGGATAATATTACTAGTTGTTTCGTAATCATATATGGCAGACCCGATTGAACTCTGGGGCTAATCGAAGGTAAAAATGGAGCTGATCTCTCCAGACTGACGATCAACGGTCACTACAAATATTGTGAGGATGACTAAAAGCAGTCATATTTTTAAAGGTTGCTCTAAGATAGATTGAAACAGATGACTAGTGCGGAAAATTAAGGTAATGCACGAAAATAACATGGGAAAATGGTGTAGGGTTAACGACGCCGACGTAATTCTAGGAAGTTCGAATATTTTTTTCTAAGTTCTAATGAAGTAAAGTAAATAATCAATTTATGACAATAAAGGACAATATTCTACTTTTTGACTGGCAAAACATTTTCATGGGTTTTTAAATAAAAATTGAAGTTTTTAGAGTTTGAAGCGAGGCACCGAGG